GAAGTCTGTTTTTGTTCTTTCAGCTGTTAATTGCCAATTTTTCTGCCCTACTACTTCATTAAATAGGTGTTAAAGTTTGTACTAGTTCATTTTCCAACTTGATGACAAATATCAAAGCTACACATCAACAGCTTGACTTAAATGATGTGCTAACCCATGGTCAGTAAATGCTCAGTTAGTGTAAACAGTGGTTGTATCACTGCTATTTGCATCCTTTTCTTATCCTATTAGAATCCTTTTTTTAGTAGCTAGTAATCCATCAGAATGATTGAAGTTTGGGATTGTGCCTACTCTTTGAAAAACAACTACGTGGTTTGTTTTCCTTGCTTGAAGGCTCTGAATGAGTTTCAGCAGCTTAATTTCTATCCTTACCCTGACTCTGTTGTATCCCTCATAGTGATGTTAGCAGCTTAATGTCTGTTGTTGGAGGAGGACGTCTAGCCCTCCAAAGGGGCAGCTTAAATCCTCAGACTGCACTGTCTTTATCACTGTTTTATGGCTCCACTGGATTTCAGAGATCTTATCAGCTATTTGTGTCCGTCCACCTGCTGCTCTGCTTAGTGTCTGCATTTTAATTCTTGCTTGGTCATACTACTTTTGGACTCCTGCTGGAAAATATTTCCCTTTGAGTGCTATTTAATGTGCAGGTAGGGATGCAGATTTTAAGCAATTTCCTTAATCAATAGGATCAACAATTGAAAAATCATTGAAATTAAACACAGTGGACTTTTTTCCATATGCTGATAAACCGTTTTTAAACACTTGTTGTTTGCTGCAAAATCTCCTCCATTACAATAAGAACTTGAATAGAGTTAGCAATAGAGTATACAGCAGGTTACGTCAATTATAATTAAGCAGCAAACAATAATGACTTAATTTGCTATTTAACGATTTGCCGAACACAATCCAAAGTATTGAACACAGGAAACAAGCTGCAGTCCTCCACAGTAAATAACCTGCTACTTTATTGATCACTTTGCAGCTGTTTAGAATAATTCCCTAATCTATATGATGGGGTGACTTGTTCAGTGTAGTTTAACTGTCAGGTTTCACCTGTTAACGTTCACCTTCCATCCCTCAGAGTCACAAAAATGTGTTCTTTACCGTTATAATTTTTGCCTAGTGTGAAGTCTAGACACGTGCGCAGAATTTGCGTTGGTACAGATACATAGTAAGCAGTTCCTTTCAGACATGGAACATGGAACATTGCTGGCTTCATCAATGTATTAAAGTGACAGCATTAAACAAGCTTGGAAAGAATAGTTCTAAACAGCTGGAAGACAGTTCCTGTTTTTAAAAAAAAGCAGATTTCATACATTGTTGGTGAATATTATCAATCTTTAAGCTATTTGTGTCTGTTTTTTTGGCAGTAAAATTTTATTGACAGTTATTTTTGTAGCCTTCTAGATTTTAAATTGTCAAGCAAAGTGTGTGATAAAGGTGTGTTGTGATTTTGGCACACAAACTATGTATTTGGTACAATATTTGGTGTTTTTAAAAAAAATATGTTGTTGCTAGTGTGCCAGTGTTGTACCATAGGTAGGTATACCACAGTATTTAGAAACAATAAAGGTCTGTTGTACTTTATTATAAAACATGCACCACTACAGGACATGATATACGTACATGCTGTAACTGGTGAGACAAGAAGGCAGCCATGCTGAGAAAGATGGCAAGCTTTGTGAAATAGGACTTTTGTCAAGCATGGCCTGCAAATATATCTGTATATATCTGTGCTTTAATGAAATGAATATTTAGCACAGCAGGGAGCCAAGTCACCCCGCAGCTAAACTGGGACAAAGTAAATAAGCTCGTCTTTTGGACAAAGGATCTGGATGATTAGCTTTGCGAGATATATATGTGCTATACCAAAGGATGATCCACTCCCTTTGGTTGTTTTACTTGTAGGCTAAGGATTTAATACGCTTAATTTTTTAGCTTTTTTTTTTCTTTTTTCGTACAGACCATTTTTCTATCTTGTTCAACCAAAACTCCCACAATTGCCCTTCATAGACTGTGCAGATTTTTCCCTTTTTGATTTATTGTTGTTTATTGTTGCAAGTTCTAAACGTATAACCGTAGCATTAGCTTGTACAATAGCCCAAAAAGCCGACTACTATTTTTATTTACTGCGTTTAACATGGAGTAATTGTGGATTACATATTGCTAATTTTGTAAATGTTTTAGGTTTTAGACATTCCTTTTTTCATTATAACTTAGTAAAACTTAGCTATATAAAGGATTACTTGAAGGTAGAAATGACAGTCCTCCTGACTAACAGACTTAGCCAAGTAAATGGCTAAAATTAGACAGCACTGCGACTACAATTTTATTTAAATTTTATTTAAAACTGATGCATTATTTTATAATATTTTTGCTGAAGTTTCTTAATTTTATTATGTGTAGTTACAGCTGTTAGCTAAGCATCAGTTCCACATAGTGTGAAAGAAGTTTTCAAATAGTTAAAAAAAAAAACACAAAAAAAAACCCAACACAAAACAAAAAAACGTATCTATTTTAGAAATGAGAACTATCAGAGAAAAGGTGGGATTGTGCATCCCCATTTTAAAACACTAGTTCCTGTTTTGTTACATTTTATCATTGTTCCTAACGTTTTAAGGTCAGAGCAAATATGCTAAGAACACAAGCAGAGTGTGTTTTGATTGGCCAGTCACACACACAGGCATAAATACACACACTCCCTTCCCCCATCAGTGGAATTTTGTTCCCAGGGCTGCCTGGCATTCCACACTGCTGCATCATGGGATCTCTACTACCCTGTGTGTGTGCACGTGTGTGTGTGCGTGTGCGCGCGTGTGTGTGTGTGTGTGTACACAATCCTGCTGGTAAGAGATAGCTTATCAAACATGTTGTTATTGTGACACTGAAAGATAAGGCATCCATCCATCTCTTACCTTGTTTATTTTTACCTCCTCTCTCTCTCTCTCTCTCTCTCTCTCTCTCTCTCGCTTGTCCTTCCCTCCATTTTCCCCCATCCTACCACCTCCCTACATAGTACTGGGGACCACCCAGCTGCTGACAAAGCCGTTGTCATGGTTATGTGTGGTGAGTGGGGGACTGTCATGATGTTGTTGTCTCAACTACTGAAGAGAGAGAGAGCGAGAGAGTGGGATAGAACGTGACCATGTTGCATCTATCATAGTCCATGTTTTGGTAGTCAGTACAGCGATGACCTACACAGTTTCTTAAACATTAATTTTATGTTCAACTACATCAGGCTAGAATCTAGCACTGATCAGACACCTAGTCACATTATCAGTTGTGTTGCTCTGGAGGGAGATTTCAGAAATCAAGATGTCTCCAGGTGTCCTGTGTGGGGCTTTGAGGGTAAATCAGAAACCCAGTTTTATGAACTATGGCCTTGAAGTTTATTTTACCAGACAGGTGAAGAAGCTTGACAGGATTGGCTGTTGAATGTATTTTAACAATTCTCAGGTCTGTTTTTTTTGAAGGGCAGGTGGTTATAAAACAATAAAATCCTGCTTTTATAGCAATGCATAGGTAATAATAAAGTCATGATATAATATAGTGAATTAAAGTAGAACAATAACATTTCCAATGGAGGACCTTCACTGTGGTGGTATTTTATGCTTTAACATAAGAAAAATGGGGTAAAATGTGGCTTGATTGCATATGCCTGTAGACTGTAGTACCATTGTCCTACTAGATTATGGCACGTATTTGAAATGAGCTCTTGTGGGTAGCCATTAACTGTTCTAGAAAACTTTGTCATGGTGGCTCGCTGCTTGCTTAACGCCACAATGCTATCTGCTTGCCAACTCAGATTTATCCTCCTTGGGTTGCTGCAGTCATAAATACAGACACGCTGCAATCTTCTATCTTATCAAATAGTAGGAGGCTCCACCTGGTTCTTTTATTAAAACAAACACGTTAGAAGATGAGAAGACATGCAGACATTCAAATCACATGACTAATGGCGTGCACGAATAGTAGCAAACATATGGTAGGCTTTTGCAGTACACTGTTTACAAACTAGTGTGACTAAAATCTGTTTAGGAAAACATTAAACAGAATTAAAATAATACTTTCATTTTACATTCCTGTGCAATGGAAGCTAATACCCAGACCTGGAACTTGACCCCAAGGTCAAGATATCCTTGTGTTATTTGGTTTTGTTATACTTCTTTCAATTTGTCTCCCTTGAGTTCCTCAACACCATGGATTTACAATCCTAAATGACTGGAATGACCTTTAGAAGTATCGATTGAGCAGGTAGTAGAATTGCACATACTGAAGTTATTTGCTGAGACTGTGGGAACATCAGACATAATTGATAAGACAAGAACCATAAGCAGATGGACTATTATAGGTTTAAATAGGCCCCCAGTTGTTGTTTTTTTTTTCTTTTTTCCAGTGGTTAAAGAATGTGAATGTTAAATTTATTCTTCAAATTGTCCACTGGAGCTATTTATTACATTTTATAGACTGACTTCCTGGTTCAGTGTTGATCTATTGTACTTAGCATAGTTTTGTACACACAGGTGCAGTCACTGTTCTAGCTCAACATAAAGTGGTTCAGATAAGCAGGTTAAGCTGTTTGCTTGTTTACAACCTTGCTGTCTGTCTGGCTGCCTGTGGTTCTTTCTGTGGTCTGACTTTGTTACAGAGATGAGTACAGTGCTATCAAGACTAAGTTGTAACTAAGCAGACTAACAGCCAGATATTAAATTAGGCCATCAGACAGTTGTCTGTTTTTTCTGTAAACATAAAACTTGACATCTTTAGTGGTACATTGAATGCTGACCTAACCTGTTTTGGCCAGTCAAACTGGACTGTTAATCTGTTGGTAAATAACTACATGATTGTTAGGAGTTTACGTAAGAGCAGCGTGCTTAAGTCAATACATTGGTGTACTATTGTCTCTTATGTCTTTTAACTGATGTTGGAGGAATGATGGGATACAGGATGACACTTGTAAAACTAAATCAATGAAATTGTTTTTCTACTTTTATCCACAGGTGATGGTATCATGGCTTCCCTGTTTGCTGAGTTACCCTCCTAGACTTAGCAATTATATAAACAATATATAAACAACACGTCTGTGGAAACTACTTACACTTGGCACACCGTGTGCGAGAGGGATGACAACCTCCCATCTGAATGGCCATGTTGCTGGGGAGGGAGGCGGAGGAGGAGATGAAGAGCTGAGGGGAGGACAGCAGCACCGGGAAATGGCTGTTGACTGTCCAGGAGAGCTGGGGAGTCGAACACTGCCAGTCCGACGATCTGCACAACTGGAGAGGATACGACAGCACCAGGTATGTATACGCACTTGTTGCTTGATTGCTGTTCAGCCTTTTTTTAATCAAACAAATAACTGCAACGAATAGCGCCTAAGGTTGATCAAATTCATTCTACACGTTTGAAAAAAAACATGAATGGAAACAGAAAAATGGTAGAAAAACAGCAAACCAGTATGCTATGCCATGTTCAGTACCCTGTATCAGACGTACTCTACATATATTCACTAGAGGTCGATTTATTAATCAGTTTGGCCATATAATTGACATATATAGGATGTTTTGCAAACTAACAGTATCTGGAGAAATGTATTTCAATGGTGGTCTATCTACTGTTGATTGGCATCTAATCCTAACACAACCTGACATCAGAGCAGAGGTAGGATGTAAGTACATTTATTTAAGGTCTGTGTAAGTCCAACTCTAACACACTTACTTCACTGGGGTGTTTCTATTTGATGCTATTTTATATTTTTACATTTTCATTACATTTTTAACAATGCACTCTATTTTACACAATAAATTGTCCATAAGCTGCCCAGATAAATGTACAAATAGTAAAAATTAGCCGGATCTTGGCCACTGCTTTGTGATATTGACCTGGTACACAACTGTAAGCATGGTAGGAAGACAGAGCAATGATGCCTTACATGACAGAATGACAAAATATTGTGTATTCTCATCCTGGCATTAAGTAAAGGAGCTGGATTCTTCTTCCACCACTGTTCCAGTTCTTGCTAAGCGATATCACAAACATATTTGTCGGCTCCTTGTTGAGTCAGGGTTTTTACAAGCCTGTATAACCACATATATCTAGGGGTTGTAACATGAGCATGTAACAACCCGAGACACATTCACTCCTCAATATGCACACACCTTGGGTGGTGTAATTTTAATTTAGATATGATGAAACTGTTAACTTACTCAGGGATACCGCACCATTCTTGTTAGTAGGAATTTGTGTTGTAAGTCAACAGTATGACGAAAAATTTCGATTGATTTTGAAGAGAGATTGATAGATTATATTATAAAACTGTAATTACTTAATTTTATTTTCATTTTGTGATATAAACAGTAACTCAGAGCAGACAGAACTTTCAGAAAGTTTTGTGAATGTGTCTGAATCATACATTAGTCTCACCATTTTTAGTAAGTCCATTCTATGCAAGCATCAGTCACATTCTTAGTAATACAGCATGAATCAGCACACCTGTAATTGTCAAGTGACCTAAACAGGCTGTGTTATATTGGGCGTGTCACAGAGGCTATAAAAAAAGTTTCATGTAACATTTATATTGTAAGCTTCAAAACTGTGAAACTGAAATGAGTTCTAATCCTGTCTACGATGTATTCATTTGCTTGCGTGTGTGTCAGGAGGACCTTCGGCGTCGCAGAGAGGAGGAGGGTCGGCAACTCGATCTGAACGCCTCGCTCAGACTCAGAAAGCTCTCCCAGAATCCCCACATCGGGATTGACAACCCAACATTCCTGCAAGACACATACATACCGCAGCAGCCAGCGCTTGACAGCCAACACGCACATGCACTGCTGGGTAAAAACCACACACACACAAACAGTGAAAATCAGAAAGGGAAACACGTGAATAAAGAGGTTAAAGTGCAAGTGATGTTGATACATTTTTAAAACAGTAGGGATGGAGAAGAGGGGAGAGTGCAAGTAAAGAGATGGAGTGAGAGAAAGCTGGTAGGAGACGGAATGTAAGGAAGACATTTCTCCCATAAGGGAGAGAATTCCTCAGGGAGGGAGGGACGCACACGAGAGGCTCTTGAGTACGACTTAATTAAAACTTTGTTTGTAGGGTGGCAGCTACTCCATAATCACACAAACAGGAACACACACTGTAGTCCTTTAGTCTTGACTAGGAAATGAGAAGCAGTGTCTCACAAACAAACCTATCTGGAGCCAGGACAAGCAGGCTGTTATCATTAGATCATTTGAAATAGGTCTGATTTTTAGCTCTTTCACAGACACACTTGTTGTAATTGGTTTGTAAAAGTTAAGATTTGTAAGTCAAAGTTTATTGATGTGAGTACGTATGTATTTTTTTTGCAGAATTGGAGGAGTTGCTGCTGTCATTGAAGCAGGTCCGTGGCTGCCTGTCTGACCAGCAGAGTCAGAATGACATAGAGCTGGTTCTTGCACTACTAAACAAGGTAATATATAAGGAATTAGATGGAAAAAGCCTTGGGTCAGTATGTAATTGTTTTATTTTCCAAGACTTTCTGATCTCTGAGGTAGACGGGATTTGCAAAAGAGGAGCAGCGTCGTCACTGCTGTCTGAGCAGGAGCTTCCATGACATCTTATAAGATTCTTATGGCCAGAACTGAGTACGGGGAGAGGAGGCTTCAGGCTATCAGTAGACAATTCAATTATTTTTTAATTGAAGCGACTGCTCCTTTGAACCAGTATTAAATACTCTTTGGAACTGTATTTATTTTCAAACTAACAAATAATTTAGTCTTTCTCCTGGAACACCGTAACCTCTGTCAGGGTCAAGAAGCATTACGGGGATAGTCCAGCTCAGGAATTTTTCCAAGAATCGAGGAGCCTTCTTAGAAACTCTAAAATTAGAGGAACCTAGTTTTAGCGTCAGTTTCTAGTTGTTGCTTCTCCTAACGTCCAACTTTCTTATTATCCAAGAATGTTCTGAGTGGACTTTGCTCTGCTGACTGTTGCTCAATGACTAGTCAGACATGACAAATGATGGATAAATCTGCATCAGCACAAATGTATGAGCTTTTGTTACCTGTTTTGTTCTCACAGTTGCTGTTTTGCATTGTCATTTAGACTTTTATAGAGGCATTACTAACACTAAAGTCATGACACCTGTACACCAAAAGCTGGACATTTTATTTCATACATACATACAAACTGAACTGCTCTCCAGTTGATTATGCAGAGCTAAAATGAGCCAAACAGCTGTATGTTATTGTTCTGCAAAATGGCTAAACCTGGCTCAGGTCTTGTCACAAAGCAATGTGAAGTCATGATGAAGTGTTCTGCATTCGCCTATCAAATACATGCAAGTGCACATTCCTGTGATATCTTTGGAGTTATAAATTCCTTTCTCAGAGCATCATAAACCACTGTTCAGTGTTTTGGTGTCCGATAAACCTTCATGCTTTGATCTATTACTCAAATCAGCCCTCCTGGGTTGTGTTTTATCGTCTCACTGGTGCCTAAAGCAATACGCCCACACCAATGCAGCCCCTCAAGTCAGTGCTGAACGCCTAATTACCAGCCTGTGCATCCCACTCCTTATTATATTATCACTGTAATCCACAATTGTGTTGTTTCCCAACTGAAAAAGGAAGAAAAAATGATTGCTATTATTTTGATGTATCATTGTGGTTGGAGATCTTTACAGAAACAATCTGGCACATGCTACCACCCTGACTGTCTGTTTTTTAATTCTTACTAACTCAGGGCTGCATTTGCAGTGACACAACTTTAACTACTGTATGATAGCAGCTCTTCACGTTTTTTTTTTACAATAAAACTTACTGCAGAGTGAGTTATTTTTGAAAACACACCCCTCAGTGTCCAGAACAGTTACATCTGTTGGAGTTCAGTTTCAGTTTTTGTTAGTGTTGAGGCTGTAGTGGTTGGTTAGTTATCAGTACTCCTGCTAACTGCGCTGGTCGAATGTTTTTTCCTAATTAAGCTGCACATGAAGAAAGCTATTGTGGACACTGGCAGGTTAAACCATGAATACGTCTGATACATCAACTACTGAAACACAATAATAAAAATTTCACAGGATTGTATATTGTAATTGCATTTACTGTTTTATTTGTAAACAGTCCAAATACAGGTCTGGGAAAGGACAACGTGCACAGACTAAATCACATGTTGGTGATATTTTTCTTTTGCTTTATAGTCTGATTTCCAGTCAGCACTGAAGATCCATAATGCCGTGGCCACCAGCATGCACCGACCCTCACCTCCATACCCACACACACAGCAGAGCCTTCCGCTGGCCATGGAGGTAACTTGTTATCCAAATGTATTCTGCTTTAAATTTTCATTTGTTTGTACCGTTCTTGATACATTATAGTCATCTGACAGAACATACAGAGTGACAGTAACGGTCCAGGTCAGCGAGTGTGTAATAACGAGGTTTGAGACAGAGCAGCTCTGTTCAGCATCAATTAGAGCTGAAACATTATGAACATGCTTGCACGCACACACACACATACACAGACACACACACAGAGTTAGCCAGCTCTGTTGTTGTACTTTTAAACAAGTCTAAGCGGTTGTATTGGCTGAAATGTTTTAAACAAAGTAGGGAAGGTAACTCTGCAAGGTTCACTTTTGCCAGTTTAAATGAAGCCAACATCCATGATGCTAGTATGATCAGTGCTGCAATTATTTTTCTGCTACAGTGTTGAGTTGGCTAGCTGTCAGAGCTATTCATGGCTCATTTCTGTGGCATCTCATTAAATCAGCACATTATTTCTGCTCCATGTTGGCATCTCCGCCCCCTGCCCTGCATTTGGCTTCGAAAAAGAAAAGCTGTGGTTCACGCTGTACTCCTCAAAACCAGTTCCTTTGTCATTGTTAATGAAGTGGAAAAGAAATGAAATAACTCTAAACAGACACAATGGGCAGGATTATTTTAAGCGCTCAAAACATCGTAAATTCAAGTCCAGTTCATAACTTTTCTGCTTCCAGCTTTAGATTATATCCAGCCAGGTGACGACTATAAAAAACTTTACATTCTTCAAATTATTTTTTTTCTCTCTTATCACACACATTCATACATGACAAGATGAGAAACACGTTATCCTCTTCTTGCTGCTATTTCCAAATTCCTGTGTTCTTCACTGCTAACTTGTTTCTCTATAACGGACCCATAACTCCAGATTTTAGTCATATTTAGCTAAGCTATGAGGTGGCTCAAGTTTTTTTTGCCAGCTCTCCAGGAGAGTTAAGGTCTTCTTTGTAGTCCCCTCACAATACCAGTTTCTCTGATCCAGGCGTTGATGTCAAGGCCCCAAACACATTTACTCTTTATTTCTTGAATGAGGAATGAACTAAAAATGAAACTTTCTTCAAATCTGAGCCCACCTTTAAATTAATCCCTGATTGTTGTGTAGGAGTTTTACTTCAGAGTGTTAATCAACAAATAATTATTATTTGTTGATTAACATAATTATTAAATAATAATCATAATAATTAAATAATTGTGTTTAAAATTGTCTGTAGGTGCAACTATTGTAGTGTATCATTTCACTCAATAACACCACCTATGTCTTATTGCCATGGTTTCAGGTCAGGAATCTCATGCAGTCAAGTCAGAATAAAGAGGGGATGGAACTCTACAGCCTGCTGTCAGACACACACATCCAGGTAGACACACACACACCACACACACACACACACACACACACACACACACACACACACACACACACACACAGAGTGGTGTTTCCATCAATTCACCAGCTGTAACTACTACAGCCTGACCCTGACCCCAACCTCAACCTCAACCTAACCTTACTCTAACTGTAAACCCAGCCTTCATCCTAAAAGTTTGTGATTTAACTTATGGCAACTTACTTTTTTCCCCACATCTGCGAGGCTGTGAGCAGATTTATGTCCCCACAACACAAGTTATGCAAGGCCACACATACAGAGACACACACACACACACACACTACCACATATACGCACTTCATGTATGAGCAACAAACGAAGAACAAGTATTCTGTGACTGATCCAGGCTTGTGTGTGTTTTGCAGTCGTTGCTTCTGGCACATGACAGCATAGCAGAGAGTGAAATGCAGCCTGAGCCACTGCCTGCCCAAGGAGAAACACTGACCCAGTGGGGAGGAGAGACTGTCAAAATAGTTCGTATAGAGAAGGCTCAAGACATACCACTGGTAAGTTAAACTCAGCACGCATCATCATATTGTCACTCATTCATTCAAAAACCAAACACAGTTAAATAGAGAGCTGGCCCTGTTTTATTCCACTATCTTTTATTGTGGAGTGTAATTCTTTTAGTGGGCCAAGCCGTGAGCTTTCTGTGTTCCTCTCACTGTCAGCTTTGGTTCAGTGGAGACTCTAAATTTGCATTCAGATATTCTAACTAGGAGTGAATGTTTAAATGGTTGTACGTCTATAAATAGCAGCCCAGCAACTCCAGGTGCCCACCTACCTCTCACCCATTGTGCGCTGGGATCAGGTCCAGCCGCTCTGTGACCCTGCACTGGATAAGTGGGTACAGATTGATGAATAAAGAAACACTCTTTCGTCCCCTTCCATTGTCTTTGATGAATGTATTTACTCTGGCACCATGAAACAGGCTCTGCACATCAGAAACAGCACAGAATCAGCTTCCACTCCCTCCTCCACCACCAAACTAATATACCCAAACTGGAATGACGACAAGGTCACAAACGGGGTTGTATCTGGATTTTCAGAGCTGTTTTGTCTCCTCTCTGAATAACAAATTCCAGTAAGAACCAGTTTCCAGCAATCATGACCAGAGATGCTACAAGGTCCTGTAGTTTTTCTGACAGGACAGGAGAATCCACCAGAAATCTGCTCATTTTGGAACATAAATCAATATAGTTTTCTCTGTTGGCAGAATTAAACATATATTTTTTAACAAAAATAGAAATGGAAATAAATATATGATATTTTGTAAGCTGTACAAAAGCACAGTGCAAATTAAGGGTGGTTTTATTTATTTATCACGTTTATTTTTGGAACTAACAGATAGAGAAAATGGCTCAAATTAGCATTAACTTTATTCTTGGGTCCACAAAAATATATAAAAACCCGATATGTAGCACATTCATACAGTCATGTCCATCTTGGTCAGTCATCTCACCACTGTGCTGCTGTTTTTGTTCTGTAGGGAGCAACTGTTCGCAATGAAATGGACAGCGTTGTGATCAGTCGTATTGTTCGCGGTGGAGCAGCTGAGCGCAGTGGACTTTTATTTGAAGGAGATGAAATACTGGAGATTAATGGCATAGAAATCAGAGGAAAGGACGTCAACCAAGTATTTGACATTCTTGTAAGTATTTTACTCAGTTCTTTGATTTGTCCAAAGGGCCAACATAGAGAATTGAAGTAGCAGTAGTTTAACTATGGACGTTCTGTGTTATACATCCTGCTGGTTTGTTTTGGAACAAAAATGTTTAAAATGAGATATCTTTATGTACAGTGTATAAATGACATTATTATTAAGGGCTAAAGAACAGCAAGGTTGTCTGTACGTTATGTGAAACTCATAGAAAGTTACAGTAGAACTGATCAGTATTACCTGCTTCTCTGTCCTTCTTATGTTGTGTGTTTTTGTGTGTAACAGGCGGACATGCACGGCCTCTTGACTTTTGTGTTAATTCCCAGTACTCAGAGCAAACCTGCTCCTGTCAAAGAGACTGTGGTAAGTGCTGAGTTCTCCACATGTGATTAAAAAAGATAAAGAAACGTCAGTGGCTTTGTCGTAGCAATCTTCTTATTCAGGTTGAAACTAGAAAGTATCCAGATCTGTTCTCCTTTAAAACTGTGACCTAAAGTGCATTTAGTCTGATGAAGCTGTTTTCTGTCATCTTTCACTCTTCAGATCCATGTAAAGGCACATTTTGACTACGACCCCTCAGATGACCCCTATGTGCCGTGCAGAGAACTGGGCTTATCCTTCCAGAAAGGAGACATTCTTCACATTATCAGTCAGTCAGACCCCAACTGGTGGCAGGCTTACAGGGACGGAGATGAGGATAACCAGCCGCTTGCTGGACTGGTACCAGGTACTGCTGTCTGTCTGTCACTGGGATTTTTCAAAATAATTTTGGTAGCTCATGTTTTTTGTGAAGCATGTGAAGAATGCTTAGTCAGACTCCTGTGGGTATATGCATAGGATGGATGGTGGTTTCCTGTGACTCTTCACTGTTAAAACTTGTGTTCCACTCTGCAGTGCAGAGTGACATAATGATATGGTCGCTATTTTTTTTTTCTCTTATATTCTCTCACTTTTTCCACAGGGAAGAGTTTCCAGCAGCAGAGAGAAGCCATGAAGCAAACCATAGAAGAAGACAAGGAGCCGGAGAAGTCTGGTCAGTCCCACCACCATATATGATATATGATATATGATAGACCCTTTTTACTGTAAATAACCACTTTGACGTTATAGTATTAACACATTCTTCCATATCAAGTTTTCCATTTAACAAATTCACAAAACTCCACGTCACCCACGAAAATGTATATTTACCAATTGGAAGGACTTTTTTCAAAAATGCAATATGCAACAATATGTGTACCTCGAAAGACTGTTTCAAGTTGTCTGCTTGTTTACAGGGAAGCTCTGGTGTGCAAAGAAGAACAAGAGGAAGCGGAAGAAGCTGCTTTACAACGCTCACAGGAATGATGGTGTGTGCTGTTTGCCTGTCTGTCTGTCTGTGTGGCTCTCACCAACATGTCATCACATAATGACCATCGTTAAAGACCTGTGTACAACTTAATTGATCTGCTGTCTTCCAGCTTTTGTTTTCAACCAGATTAACTTGTGCATAATGTTCTCCCCATTGGTCCAGATCTTGATAATGAGGAGATTCTCACCTATGAGGAGATGGCACTGTACCACCAGCCAGCCAATAGGAAGCGGCCAATTGCACTAATTGGTCCAACCGGTTGTGGACAGGCAGAGTTTAGACAGAGGTTGCTCAACAACCAATCAGAACGTTTTGCTGGAGCTGTACCTCGTAAGAAGGCACACACACACACACACACACACACACACACACACACACAAACACACAGAGTGCTCATTATTCCATGTGTTTGTGGATGAACTAACTTGTGTTTTATGATTTCATGTGTGTTTTGCAGACACCACACGGAGCCGTAGAGAGGGTGAGCTGAGTGGTCGAGACTACCACTTTGTTTCTCGTCAGACTTTTGAGGCAGAACTGGCCGCTGGTAAGACTTCCTGTCACAGAATATTTTTGACACCGCTCAGTGAAACATTTCTTGAATTGTCTTTGTGGAGTTTAGGGACAGGTTTTCCTCTGATACGTTATACTACATTTCACTTGTTGTTGTCCACAAAGGCAGTAATGCAGAAGACAGCAAGCAGTGACACATGGACGTAAACAATGCACTGCTTAATATTTGAAAAATTTACTGTTTTATTCAGAAGAAAAAAATTCTGACATGTTAACTCGACCTAAAGAATACATGAAATGCATTTTAGAGAAAAACACTCCATGTAAACAAACTTTAATGTGATCTTAAGAAAACTTCGCTGGGCACCTTTATGTCTGTTGTGGTACGCTGTAGTTTGATTTATCTGCAGGGGCACACTGTACACCATTTGCTGTAAATATGTGTTTCATGTGTCGTATTGAGTTAGTTAATTTTCTTATTGCGATTTTTCCAGGGAAGCTGATCGAGTCTGGTGAGTTTGAGAAGAACCTGTATGGAACCAGTACAGACTCAGTGAGACAGGTCATAAACACTGGAAAAATCTGCGTGCTCTGTCTACACACACAGGTTAGTAAACGCCAAGACGGAGCAGGCCGGCACAGTTGAGGTCTAAATTGTTGCAGTACACACATTTAAAAGTTGAATTCTGATGTAGTTTTCTGTGTGTGTGCAGGCTCTGAAGGTGCTGAGGAGTTCAGACCTAAAACCTTACATCATCTTCATAGCTCCACCTTCCCAGGAAAGACTTCGAGCCCTGTTGGCTAAAGAAAACAAGAATCCCAAGGTTTCCATCTGTCTACATTGTCTATTTACACTTGGCCAAAGATAAATATCAGTGGTGTTTACATCTCTAAAACGTTTGTCTCAGTAATAATGTGTGTGTTGTCCACAGCCTGAGGAGTTGCGGGACATCATAGAGAAAGCCCGGGAGATGGAGCAGGGCTGCGGACACCTGTTTGATGCCGTCATCGTCAACACAGACCAGGACAAAGCCTACAACGAGCTGCTACGACTAATCAACAAACTGGACACTGAACCTCAGTGGGTGCCCTCCTCCTGGCTGCGCTGAAAACACACTCACACACTCGCACATCATTCATAGAGTAGACACACGGAGCCCATGGAGTGCATATTTCTACAGGTTTGGCAAACTAGACCCTAAAACACTTGTGTGGCTTTTACACAGTGTGCTGTGGTGAAGGTTGAAACACAATATTAAAGATGATGTTAGGAAAAAACTAATCAGAGATATGGAGAATTTGCAATATTATGAGAACTAAGTTCAAATAGTTGGATTGGAACACAAAATCTGAAATGTACAAGAAAACACACAATACCAATATTGCTGATTGTAATTTGTAAGTTAACAATTTCTGAAAAAAAAGTCACAATATTACAAATGGCAAGTGAACATGTTTTTTTTTAAATATAGTTACAAAAAGTCAAAACATTAAAAGATTATTGTGGAAATTTATAAGAAAATGTCATATTACAAGAACAAAGTCAATTTTATTTAAGAAAATCATATGACTACATCAAATTTAGAGTGAAACCACAAATCATACAATGAGATAAAGTTGGGATTACCAGAAAACTATTGTCTAGTAGAAATTAAATTATTTTTTTCCTTAATTTTTCAGGTTGGAATTTTAAATTCATGAAATCATTTTGAGAATACATTTGTATCACATCTAGTCACTGGTTTCATTTCATGTCAGGACTGGTGTCTGTGTAACATTACTCTGCTGTGTCACCTGTAGTCACGAGTTCTACATTAACCAGCATTGGCTGATTCACAAGGAGAGTAACTGTAGCGACAAAGACAAAGTAGGCAACAGCAGCTAGTATAGTGGAGCTTATGGTGAAAAAACTGAGGCGGCATCACCACAAAAAAGTATTTGATGCTGCAGATAAAAGACACCTGGCTAAAAAGGAAACTGATTGACGTTGATACCATGTAGTGTCTGATAGGCACAGATTCTCAGTGTTATGTGTAATAATGGTCAGTGGCCAGAGGGGGGAGACACATGATCTTCAGCCACACGACTTTATTGTGACAGAGCAAAAAAATACACAATTGGTTATTTTATATTTTATAAGACAACTTTATCTCATTAATAGGACGGCTTACAAATCTGTGACTTCAATTATAATTTGAGACACTTTGTTCTCAAAGTAGCTTTTTTTTTTTTTTTTTTAACCATTCTTTATTTAAAAAATTTTACGTTTTTCAAACTGGGATATCTCACGGCATAACCAGACCTTCCAAAAAAATACAGTTTTATTTGAAAATATTCAGCTTAATGCTACAGTTTGGATCATGATCTGACATTTTACTAAACTAACTTTTTCTTGTAAGAATGAAATTAATGAATTAATTCAACTTTCTTGTTTCAAATTTGTTGACTTTTTCTAGTAAAATTGTATCAACAACTTAATCAAGTTTTTTTTGTCATAAAATAAATTTTATTTTTAAAATCAACTCTGGAAGTGCTATGACTTTATAGTCAAATTTCTTATTTTTTCAGAGGTTTTAGTTATTAAACCTTGACTTTATTTGTTTATTTTTTATCTTATAAAATTACGATTAAGTTGTTTAGCAAAAAATGTATTTTGCCTTATTAAAAAACAACTTTATTGTTGAAAATGATGCCTTTTCCTTATAATTTCAACTTAATTCTCACAACATTGCAACATTTTTCTCAAAATCTCTGACTTTAGTATTTCCTAACACTGATACCAATATTGTTGTACTGTGGGGAGGATTTTCTCTGCAACCAGTCAGCATCTTCTGTAATGTGTCGACCAGGCGGCACTGACTAACAGAAATAGAAGTGTATCAGCAATTTGTGTATGGACCACCCTGAAAGGGAGGAAATGCTCAACAAACTGATCTTGGATGGTGCCTGACTGATCCATGATGTTTTTATTCCAACATATGGACCTGAAACACTGATATATTTTTGTAGTTTTTATTTTGAAAACGTATTCTTTCTCAGAATGTCTCGTTAATGACGCTTCCTTCGACTTTATCCTGTGATCATTTCAAGTATTATGAGTAGAATCGATTGAAGCTGTGACACGCAAATATTTTTTGCAGTGCAGAGAATCATTGTAAACATTTGATTTTGAATTAAAGCCTCTTACATTTATTATTATTATTATTATTATTATTATTAATATTATTAAAGAGCTGGGGCTTGTTCTAGGTTCCAGGCAAAACACATGTACAGCTCAGGCCCCTGATAAGCAGTAAATATGAAAATCACACACACTTTGACATTTAGTACAAATTTTAACCTCCACTGAGCCACTGCGTTAATGCTATGAAGAACACTCCCACACACATTGTGTACTTACACACCACCACGCTGTGTTAGTTGCTGACATCCCCTGTCCTGAAACTACAGCCCTCTAGACTGACTGGTCGGCTGGATGGCTGGTTTCTGCCTGGCTCTCCTGGTAAAATGCACACTACTGCAATAAACACTAGAATAAAGGACCACAGCACTTGATATCTTTCTTTACTGAGTGACTGTTTTGTTTTTTCTGCCTGTTCTTCCTGACTGACTGGTGACAGATCACGCTGTCAGCTGATTTTTTTTTCTGTCCTGTCTGATCACATTTTAGTAGACCTTTGAGCCTGATCCCTGAGGGGTGAGCAGGCAAAGAAAAGTGGTTGTTTTTTTTTTTTGTGTGTGTTCCTGTTTGGCACATGATGCTGAATTCATTAAATATTTAGTGTATGTGTGTGTGTGCGTGTGTGCGTGTCTGTGTGAGTGTGTGCGCCTGTCTTTGAAGACAGTGAAGTATTATCATGACCTGAAGTAGACCTGACACCATATCACTGTCACCACTGTGTAGAGCATTTATATATTTGTAATATTGAAAATAGATTTATGAAGTCCAGAACACACCAGTAGGATCGGAGGTTTCAGTCCCCCCTCCCCTCCCTGCCATTGGTCCAGGAGGACGAGGGAGGCGGGGCTAAGTGGAATTAACTGTATTGAATGTAAAGTTAATTGATACCACTTCTTGTTTATCAGACATTGCTTCTTCCTGAGAACAACTGCTTTTTGTATGGATATTCACAATGAATAAATAAATAAATAGTTGATTGATAGAAAATGACTGGCTGTTTTTCTTCAAATCCCTCAAACCTGGCCAAGAGCATCGCCACAAGACAGACAATGACTAACAGACATTAACTCAGAAAAGAGTGCTGGGTGTAGAAGCTCCTGATTGTTTCGTAGAGTTTGGCCTTTATCACCTGAGCTTGGTAGTTTATTTGTTTGTTAACATGTCTGCCTTGTTAAATCCTACAGTTTCATCTCAGAGTGAATAAAACCAGCTAAGTTTAAAGACCCTGAGATGTCACGAATGTCGATCACATAAATAAGAACGAACCTCTGTGTTTAAAACTAGTGAGGCTATGTAGCTTTTAATACAGCACATCCATGTAAAATTGTGTTTTTATATGGGACAGAGAAATGTGTTGGTTAATTTAAATGCACTGTAGTATTATTTAAACACAAGGTCTATTCATAGACAAGATCCAGAAAATCTGGATCCACGTTAATGCACCACAACAGCATTTCTATCCGGAGCAGACATCTATCACAGCATGTGTGTTGCATGTACTGTACTCTGTTATTCATCTGTGGCCTTTTTATATCTTGTTTACAATCCAGAAACTCAATGTCACTGAATAGATGTCTTTCAGGCAACAGTTCAGATGCTGATACTGCTGCCTGCATTATCACTCAGCTGATCAGTCATACGGGAAAACCACAAGAGTAAATATATAATTGCCTAAACGCTGACTGACTTCTGTTGAGCTGCTTCATGCTGGATTCCTGTCACACCGTCATGGCTCTCTGGGATTCCTGAAGACAACAGAGCCATTGTTAATGTAACACTGATGACACACATGACTGACACAAAGCAGTCAGGTTTTTAAAGTTTACAATTACTACTCCTTCTACTGCATCACTGTTCTCACTTCTACTTAATGTATAAGTAACAATAATGCCAATGTGTGGTGAGAAATATTTCTTTAAAGCTTGAATGATGCATAAAATGAACTACTCCCATAACTACTGCTGTAAGGTTTTGATCAGTGCCATTAATGTTGTCAAAACACATTAAAACATATGACTGTGCACATTTTGTCTTGATGAGAATGTTTGGCTGCACTGTAGGTGTTTCATGGAGGGTGGATTGTGATATTTGTGCATTCAAATGTACCTTTAAATTGAATAGTTCCCAAATGACAAGAAACTCTTCTCACAATGAACTAAACAAATATATTTTTAAAATGTTGAATAAATTACAGCATTTCAAAGCAGTTTGATAAACACCCTAATACACATTATAATGTAGTCGTAAGCTGCTATATGGAAGTGTTAAAGTGTTTATTAGTGAGCAGCGCTTTCTGCAATCATAACTTCTCTCAAGAATATTTTATAATCCTACCCCGGTCTTACCATATTTCCATCAATTTCAGGACAAGGAGGAGTATTGGTTGTTTTATCTGCGTAGAACTACTTTACAATGTTTATCAAGTATTTAGATAAAGCAACATGCTAATCAAGGTGGGCCTAAAGGTTTTGATTACAGTGAACAACAACAGGATACGTAAAGACTTACTTGATTCAGACATAATAGTTATTTCTGGGATAATACTATCCTGAGGCTGACACCCCATCAGTCCCTCCTGTGAAACAGTTGAGGAGGAGATTTTACTGAGCTGAATGCAGTCGCTCTGCCACATGTAGTAACATGAACAAAACACAAGGTGGTGCTGTTCTGCAGATTATTGATGCCATGTGTGATCACAGCAGAGAAAAGTTCGGTTTCCTCAGACTTTTGTGTTGTCTTCTGCTCAGAGCTGACCATCCTTCTTGCCCATTCCCTGTACTTTTGCACATTTTGTATAAGTGTGCATGTTTGGTCTGATGCTGGACACAAGGCCAGTTTCCGAATCAAAAACACATTCTCAGTATGAGTAGAATCTTTGAATGATTTCTCCAGTTCTCATCCACACCCCAGCCTTCATTCCTCCACGTGTGATGCAGTCAGGCTGCACTGAGATCAGACTCAAAACTCTTCTGAGAACGTCAATAAACCTGAACTGGGTCTGATGAACATGTTCCACTAAATGTTTTACTGTTTTAGGTAAACAGTTACAGAAAAGTATCTCTAACTGTTTAACTGCACTTTATCATCCATTTGCTGACAGCTTGTGTTCGAACGCTTCTGTTCTTTCACTTCATGTCATCAGTTACTGCTGCTTTGCATTTGGCCTTTTGTGTGCTCTGATCAGAGCTGATCTTTGGTTTCCTTTTCAACCTGTTTGAAGAATGATCAAAGAGTCTGGCGGCAGAGCAAGAGGTTTCCCCGCAACCAGTGTGTGTTTATGGGTGTGTTGGCTTAATGAACATCTACAAATAAAAACAATTCAAACAACGTTGACTGCTTTTGCTGGGCGACTGTAGCCATTTGGTTTTTGGTCATTTACCTATCTCTTTAAAAAGTCTTATAGCAACATATAAAGATTAGAAAACATAAAATTGAATTTGAATTTCCCTTCTGTGATAAATAAAGTATTTTTCATTTCATTTCATTCATTTCATTGGGTAATTTTGGTTAGTCTGTAAGGACAAACACACAAACAAACAAATAAAGAGCAAAAACAACCTTCTGCTTCTGCACACCTTTTCTCCAGTAGCAGGAACAGCCCAGGTAAAGGAAGCACCTTTAATGATGGCAGCGTTCCATTTTGGTGTCCCAGTTTCAGGGCCCTGCTATTTGCCTGTTTGCTCACTGACATGGTATAATTTAAATAAAATGATGATACATAAAACAGAGTGATCTTTAATGATGATAATTAAAACTATTTTAATGCTTTGACAAGTTAAATGGCTGCAGTGTAAAGGACATTTGATGGTACTTAGCTGTAAATAAAAGATGGACAGACTGACAGAAAACAGAGGAGACAGGTTAGGTAACGAGCTGTCAATCACCAGGGAGCCTAAAACATTCCCAGCTTTATTGTCTATTTTCCGTTCCAGTGGGATCATGATTAACAAAATGAACGCCATGCTGTATTCAAAACGACTTGAAACTACCTACTGAGATCGTATTCTCATTTGGAAAATGAGATAACAGAGCAAGGAAGAAGTAGGGTCATTTTCTTAGACTTTTATAAAACTGGACTTCTTTTTGTTACCTGAGAAGTCGCCTCCTGCTGTTTGTCACTGTCATATTCACTCTTCAGAGCCAGACACTATGTCCATCTTTTCCATTGAGTCCATGTGCTTAGCAACAGTAATAACTAAATCTGTGCTTGCTAAATACAGAGGTGATGTTGGTTTGTTAGTTGGGAGACAAATCACATATCTATTTAGATAAACTGATGCTGTGTTTTAAAACCATCAAAAAGTTATACTGGCTCATGAGATTTTAGTAAGGCATGGAACAGTCATTACTATAGCAGTATATCAAGATAAAAGGAAAAAAATAAATAGGTTCAGATTGATTTTTCTTAGAATTCTGGCTTTGAACTCATATTTCAAAGAAAAAAGGTCAGACTTTAAATTTTAACTTTTTCCTCCGAATTCAGACTTTTGACATTGAATTCGAATTATTATTGTTTTTTTTTTTTTTTACAGTGGCCTTAATCCTCTTCTGTATTTATGGTTATCTTTTGCACTCTACCTTAAGAAATGCCATTCTGTGTTTCATATGGTAAGACCCTCACACCGAAGCTCTTTATCCTCTGGTCGGCTATTATCTTGTTCATGCTGAACTCTTTGTTCAGTTGCCACTGTGTGTGGGGGGTGACGTCAGTCGCATACAAACTACTGTATCTGATTGGCTGAATTAAAGTTAAAGGCGGGACCTGCGGTCGTTGCCAGTGCTGATTGGTCAGTGTTACGGTCAGTCAACCGTCCTGCCTCTGCCCTCACAGTCAGGTTGATGGAGAGAAGTGGAGGACAGAGGCAGCGAGACGTGGTGGATATGAAGCACATAACGGAAATAAGTTTTTAACCACTCCACGTTTCTCTGTAACGAGCATTTAACTGTTTTCTACTGAGTTTGTTGTACTTTTCTTATTTTACGGCGGTTTCGACACTTTACGGTCCGAGTCGGGTATCCCTGGCAACACGATCAACTGTCCTGCGAAGTTTGGATCAAGTGTCTCACCTTCAACCGGAGAATAAACGGATATTTACCCACTAAATGAACGGAACCGACTCCGGGGTGTGGACAGAGCGAGCGAGGAACAGTTTCCAGCTGTTTTTACTCACATTTGTGTTTCCCAGTTTTGAAACGAAGCTTTGAGGGAAACGGGACAGCGCGAGACAATAGTGGTGAGAGAGAGAGCTCGTGCAGGGGGGGGATCGATGCCTCGCGGGGGCTTTGTTCTGTCCTGCGTGGAGACTCAACGCGAGCCTGCGGCGGATATCGACTGATTGATCGGCGGATTGATGATCGCTTGGTGACTGATAAGCCGTCGGAGCAACATGGACGTGACTCTGTCCGAGCTACTGGCCACTTTCATGGAGTCCCCGCTGGTGGTGTGGGTGAGTGCACGCCGCACGCGCACACAGTTGTGAGGATGATGCCCACGAGCTGCAGACCTCAGTCCGTTTCCTCTCATGTCAGGTGCACTCAAACAAGTCACTAACTAGTAGCAACTACCAACTCTGACCCATAATCTACTGATTTGCACTAGTAGGTACGGGGTGGTGTTTCTGGGACTTTCCACTTTTCATTCTCACGCTGCCAAACAGAAAAAAAAGTTCGTTTTTACTCTAATGTGTCTCACTGCTCACAGCTGGTGCAGCTTTCTGAGGCTGCTGCTGTACTTAAGAATTCTAGCAGGTTAATCCCACTGTTCTCACTGTTTGGGGGATTTTAACCGTCCTGCTGATGTGCATGAGGCGGATGTGTTAGAAATTAGTCCGTATCTTTGTAGGAGCGAACAACGCAGCAGCTGGTTTCACTAACCTAGAAAAGCCCAAAGCAGAGATTAAACAAATATTTGGATGCAACCATGATCTGATGATGAAATCCAGACTGTAGAGACATCTTCAAACCCACTACAGAAATGTATGTTTACATTTGTAAGTTGATTAAACAACAACAAAAACAGTAATACAATTGAGGATTTAAAAAATAATAATAATCTGCATAGGTAAAATTAGTTCCCAACTGCAATAAAAGCTGAAAAAGAGAAACGAATTTTTGATAAATGTATAAGAAATATTCCATCTTTCACACACTGTATCACTGATACCAGGGTCTTGTTGTCAGTTTGCTCTGGACCCATTTTAATCTCCAGTGTGGGCTGGATGCCCAGAGCAGAGCAGTCAACAGGTTATTAACCCTGTGCTGCTTCCTGCTTCCCCATGACCTCACGTCCTGCTGACCTGACCGCTCAACCAACAATTTTCCCGTCTTTGTTGGACACAGAGGAAGGCAAATAACATGGCCACACAGTAGGAAAGTGACACAGGGCCACTTTCACCTGACTGCATTACCTCGTTTTCTGATATTTGTCTGTTTGCACACCCGGGGATTAGAGAAATCCGTTTTTGTACAGGTACACCCTCGGGACCACATTTTCCTCCTGAACCAGATTTTAGGATATGTCTGGGTGGGGAGACTGAAAGAACAGTGCATGCCTTTAGAGAGGCCCTTAATTCCCAAGTGCTCCAGTGGAGCTGCTCAGTGGCCAATAGATCAGACTGTGGTTGTACTGGGCAGCTTCCAGCTTTGCCACTGTGCGAGTCTGAGCAGGGCGTTCCTCAAAGGGAGAGTATTACTCCCAGCAAAGCCCCTCTGAGTTAGGAAAGGCTGAAAGAGCACTAAATGTGCTGTAAGGCATTTAAAGACTAAAGTGTGTTTCAGAGTTTTTCCAGTGTTACTTTGATGTACTCTTAGCCAAGGTTTGACACCACTCTGTTTTTATCCTGTTCTGTTAATTAAGGTTCAATTTACTCAAGCTTGATAGGTTTTTTTTTGATAATCAAATTGTCAGAAATTTCAGCAAAATATAAAGATTTTTGTCAAATAAGACAGCAGAGGCTCTTTGCCTCTATTCTATATGAACTTATCAAGCTTCCTATCATTTGGGTCACACCCCAAACAACCATTCGGAGCCAGAAAAACCCTTGTTAAGGTGAATTCAGATTGGATTTTGATTTGCAAAATGTCCTCAGAAGGTGTGAGAAAAAGCAGGTGGGACAGGAAGCAGCATGGATGTACACACAAGCATAGCAGGAGGAAGCATGGCCAGCAGGCCAATAGCAAGGTTTCCCATGGTGCAATGTTTCTCTAGAATGCAGTACTCACTAGACTTTATTTCTCTTCCTATTTTGTCATTTCACATCTTCTGAGTGTGTATTAAGTCTTAATGTGACTTTAATACTTACAGATACATTCATGTGCATGATGAAACCAGGGCTGCGTCTAAACATTATCATAATTTATTGATTTGTTCATTATTGTTTCAATTCACAGATTTATCGCTGCTCTATGAAAAATGTAAAATACTGAAAAAAAATGCTCATCACAACTTCACAACAGCCATCAGAGACGTTAAATGTCCTGTTTGGTCTGACTTCATTCCCTGGGAGACAGGTTCCAAACAGAAGGCTTTAGAGAGAGACTGAGAAAAACAGCAAATCCTTTCACCTGAGAGGCTGCAGCCAGGCAATGTGAGGCATTGTCCTGCTGTTTTTGCATGTTTTCAGTTGTTTCTTTAACAGACTGATTGAACTATGAAAAATGTGATGGCACAATCCCTCATGGCATGTTTACTAGAGAGACACTTTTTCTCTTGATACAAGTTATGACACCTTCATTTAGGGATTCTATTGTGTTACAGCACAGGTAGAAAGTAGCTGATATATGTTGTTATATTTTGAAGAAGGCCACTGGTTTAATGTCTCTATATCAGTTACACTCCTGTGGCATGGTGGACTTTGAGCGTACCAACCCCGGAAACAGTAATAGAGGGCAAATGATCATTACGTAGCTAGAAACATAGTTTAGGAATTTTACACATAAAAACTAAGTAGGGCTTCAGACAACATATGTAGTTGAAAGAAAAAAACAGACCAGATATTTCAGTGTGTGACATAATGTCTCCTGTGTTTGTCTGCGTCTAGGTGCGGACGTTGGGCCCACTCGGCTCATGTGACGATGCGGGCTCAGAGGAGCGGGTCAACATGTTCATGGAGCTGGTGGACGGCGTCTTCCTGCACAAGATCATGACACACATGTAGGTAGCAGAGTGAGAGCTTCACGTTTTGTTTGGATATGTCAGCTTAAAAAAGAAAAAGCCTTTGCTGTGTGTTTTTGTGTGTCTGGACTGGGTATATAAGGGGTAAGTAAGTTAATCCATTGCTTCCTGTGTGTGCCTGTGCAAGTGTGTCTGTGTGACCACATCCTGACTCGCTGGTTTCAGGTCGTAAACGTCACAGCCAGATGTTCAAGGCTGCAGCAAGAAACAGTGTACTAATGGAGGCAGTGTGACTTTCTACATCTACAGTCATTTCATAGTGGAGCTCCGGTCGGCTTGTACCGAAACTCAGGAAAGAGACTGTCAAGTAGCAGATCACATCAATCACAAATATTAAAGTGATGCGACACTAACAGCCTGAGTGAAGCAAGTACACGTCTGACAGCGGAGTACGTTTTATAAGACTGATACCTGCACTGTAACTATAATATCTGGTTTATTTAACAGGTTTTTATGCCATCAAATGAGCAAAATTCCGAGCAACATTTTTCCCCCTGAGTTTTAGGATTAATACTTTAGTGTGTGTTCATGGTAATGAAGGTACATGTCAGCCAGAGCAACAGTGTGGCACAATAATGTGTTTTTAATCGTTTTGGTGCTTAGGAAGGACAGACTTCTGGCTATGAATACACTAAACTAAACTTGTGATCAGTCTGTTGCTGATTTTGATATTCTCATGGGATTTGTTCATTAAAAAAAACAAACAGACTATCACAGACTTATCCTTTCAAATTTTCTGGTTTGGAAACAGCTGTTTAGATGGCACCAATACTGTCTATAGTAGTAGTAAAACATACTTGTGTGGAACCTCTGAGTCTTCTCTTATCCAGACGGCCTTGTGTCCCTAATCAGACCGCCTGTTCATATGTGAGTTATTGTCGTCAGTTATTGTCTTCAGACACAATGGTAATCACGCTATTGTTCTCCACGCACTGAATGTAGGCTTGGCAGACTGGGGGGGTGATTAGGACTTGGTAGGGGTTTATGAGAAAGTGGGTTACAGAGGAGGAGGTCTGGATGGAAAAGCCATGAGGAATATTACAGGAAGGCCCCTCAAAAATGTTTGGTGAGTCAGTCATTAGAACCAGTCAGCTGTTAAATCAGTCTGTCTGTAAACATGTTAAAGAACATGACCCCATGCTGTTCTCTGTGAACAATATGCAGTTAAATACGGCTGTGTTTAACTGACTGTTACATGCCTTTTTGACTGGGAATAAAGCTAAATATAGCAAAATTACCTGCATGAAGCATGCTCATTGCTAAAAGTTTGAATTTAAATTACTTAAAATAGTTGAAATACTGAAACCTGTTACGTAGGGCTGGGAGATATGACAACCTTATACTGTAGAAGATCTTAATTTGGCGTATGATCTGCTTTTCAGAAGAATCATACCGATCCTGTCATTATGAGTGTTAAAAGACAGTTTTATTTTGAAATATCAGTTGCTGCTAACCATATAGCTCTAGCCTGGTCCGTCTCATGTGTTCCTACCTACAGGCTGCCACGTGACTGTTTAGGCGGTCGTTTTTTATTCTGCTACCTCTCCAGTGAGTCCCTCACCCTGTGGACGGACTCTACCGATGGTAGTCCTTGTTCTGCTCTCCGTGACACCAGCTGCATGCTGGAGTGCCACTTCCACCAAGAGCTGCAGAAGGTGGAGAAGTGGTTCATGTGCCACTATGTGAAGCTCACTGAGGCTGCCAAGTAGAGCAAGGCAGCCATAAAATCTGCCCATGATGACATAGGTTGAGCTGGAGTCTTTCTGCAGGATGAGAGACTCACTGGAAAGGCAGCTGAATGACATGACGGACCACCACAACAGCGATCTGACCAGCCTGCAGGCAGGGAAACATAAAATAGGATGGTAAAAATGCAGGTAAAGGACAACGCCAGTCGACCTCTAACATGGCTTATTCTATCTCAATGGTAGCCTCTTAGTATGACTATAATGAAAGATTCAATATCTGTTATTTAGAAGTGCAACAACTGGGCAACTATTGGTTTGAGCTAATGATTATAGTTGACTAGGAAGATCTTTAGTTGGGGGGAAGTCCTGCAGGTCCACTTCTTCACCCACAATTCAGTAGGCAAACACTAAAACTGTGCACCGAAGCTAGTAATATTTGGTCAGGAGCTGACCAACCTGACTGACCCAGTTATTATATTATATCATTATTTTGTGGTCAACATAAACAATAAATGAACATAAATACTGGTCAGAGACAACAGCTGTGCTGTGTGATTGTTTCTACACATCCCCACCTGTGGCTGAACTACGTGGATGACTGGTTCCTCCAAGTGACCATCTGTTACACCTGTATTTAGTTCTGCGGTTTAAGACAACCAAATTCAAACCATAATCAATCTGTTGTGTATTTGACCATACAGTGTACATTTAAAATCACTGGTCACTGGGAGAGTTAGAGGCAAGTAAAGACTGTCTTGCTCGCACAGCTCATGGCTCTCACTGGACTGGCTTTAAAACTCTGTTTTCTGAAACACCAAGCTGCTATTTAAGTTCTTTAAATGACACATTCAGTTGAAAGTGTTTGTTTTAGTTTGAGTTCTAAAAGAAATTAGTGTGAGCTTCAGCTGAAATGCAGGACGTCAAACAGTAGCAGTGTTGCACATTAAAAATCAATGTTGTGGAGTTAGAATAGCCTGAAGTGGAGGAGTCGGCACTGAAAGGAGTTGAGGTGTGTGTTGGAGGGTAACTCAAACAGATGAACTCCTTGTTGAAGTATTAGAATAGAATAGAATAGAATAGAATAGAATAGAACTTTATTGATCCCTTTGGTGCAAACCTCAGGGAAATTGTTGTACTAGAAAACAACAACACAACACCAGAATGAAAGCAGTGAAACTGTTGTGTGATGTGTCGACACTAAGTGCATTTGAACTGTCATTTGGATATTAAGTGAATACAGCAGCTGGAATATAAATATCTAACTTGTTATTCTCTCAGAAGCAGAGGAGGTGTGCATATTTAATTCACTTGTTGGCTGATTCAGTCTTCTTGGCTTTTGTTTCAGTTAACAAAATACATTTCCTTTTTCAAAGAGAGTGAAACAATAACTATAGCCCAAAGACCTTAAGTCTATGAAAGTTAGTAGCTTTGGTGGGTTATGTTTGATTGATATTTAGCCAGTCTCAGCCACATGAAGCACACAAACTGGTGAAGACCCCATCCCAGTAACAGCTCCAACATCAAACTGACGTCATGACAGTCATAGTGGGTCGGCCAGACAGCGTAACACTCCCCCTGTTCACATGCAAATTAGTCTGGCACAGGCTGACATGTGGTGATGTGGGCATAAATCCTTTCCAAGCACAATAGTTACCCTGGACCTGGAGCATGTGTGTGTGCCTGTGTGTGTGTGTGTGTGTGTGCGCGTGTGCCTCTGTGTGTGTGTGTGTGTGTAACAATCATTGTCCTAAATAGCCACAGACGTCAATCTAAGCACTCCTGTGGTGTGTATGTGTGTCTCCATAGTGACCCCAGTCCCACCAATCAGAGGCTGAACAAGAATGTGAACAATGATGTGTCACTTCGCCTTCACAACCTGACTGTTCTCACCAGACACATCAGGACGTACTACCAGGTATGCACACACTAACTAACACACAGTGCCAACATGGTGATCAGACACTGCAGCAACACCCAAACAGCAGTCCAGACTGTCATCATTAAATTTTAGGAACCACTGTCCCCACATGTGCTTTTCTTTTTACCAAAAAAAGGAGAGAAAAAACTTTAACCAAGTAAGAATCTGTTTATCATCTACTGATCAGTTGTTCCATAATCTGTGTCTCTCTGTCTGGAGGTGCAGCTGTTTTGTGTGTCTTTTAGCCAACATCAGTATCGTGTGTGTGTCTTCTGACGTGTCTGTTTGAGCTTGTACATTACACATGAGCAGACACACAACACCTATATTCCCAAACCAGTGCAGTGTGTGTGGCGTGTGTGTGTGTGTGTGTCATTCATGGCTGTATTGATGGTTGGGGACATCCATATAGGTCAACTTTGAACTTTCTGGTCAGTCATTTGCATGCTGCTGCTTGATGACCAGTAATTTGCAGGGGTCAATACTAGGCACAATAGAGGCAGCTCACTGGGAACAAATCTGATCTACATGCTTAGTGAAGGGCTTTTAGTTACTTTGATTTCACATGCTCATATGTAAAGCAACATTCCTAGACTTTTTTTTTGTAAATTTCTTCTGTTCAAGTCAGTTCATAAAAAAGTGTTGACGGTTTGTTTTACCTATAAAATCACAGTAGCGTAAAATACAACCTTCATAAATGAAGAATATCTGTGGTTAGTGGTTCCCTTCTAGGTGAAGTCATAATCATCATCTTTAGTTTTATTCTGAGTTCATTTTGTAATGAAAGCTATTGATTTCTATTAATTATAAGTTGCTGGTACAACATGTTTAGCTAAAATGTGTCTGAAGCATTTTGAGCATGAGGAGCAAGTGGATGGCTTAGAGTTTGTATAATTGTTGTATAAATACCACTTTTTAAATCCACTGTAACTGCTGTGAAGCTGAACACAGCCTCTGGACATAGAAATAGTAATACATAAGCAGTAGTCACAGCAATGTGCATAGTGCCACAGACTGCCCCATAACTTGATGTGCGTCCTCCCTACACATCGCCATGACCCAGACTAAACAACTGTGACTTATTCACTTAGCAGTGATATGCTGTGTTTACATGGCGTATTGATTTGTGCAAAGAAAATTAATTTGTAACAGGCTATAACTGTAGTTGGCTCCTAATGTAAATGCAATAGGCAGCACTGTGCCAGTGTAGCCAGTTTCATACATAGACACAGATGAATTTTACCTCTTAAGAAACAGCAGCGTTTATAGGACATGAAATAAAACTGTGTTTATGCACAGTGTGTGAGTGTTGTATGGTGACCATCCTCTCAGAGCTAAACCCAGGTGTTAGTCACAAGAATCAACCCTGCATGCATGTTTGTGCATGTACACAGTGGGTCTTTTGCATAAATCAGAGATAAAGAGCTCAGATGCAGTTGATTTGGCTGAGCTGCACTCATATCCTGCTGACACACACTTCCTCTTAGCCCCGATTCTGTACAGTGATGGGTGTGTGTTGCGTGCTAGTAGGTATTTAAAATAGATGTTGGTGCTCTAGAAAGATTGTTGGGTATGCACAACACAATACACACTTTCGATGTGCAATCAAGTAGACATGCATGTACATGACACTGCACCTATAGAAAGCAAAAACTACTTGATTTAAATTGTATCACTTTCCACTTCAAAGCCGTCTTGCTGTGCAGGGATACACTGCTCCCAGGGCTCCTGCAACATTTAACATGGTCGTTGGAAGTCTGTTACTGACCCCTTGCAGGTGTACATTTGCAATTTCACTGTGGACCTCAAGCTTTCATGGAGCAAACATCAAATTCTGTGTCAAACTGATCACCAATAAAGACCTGGTGATTTATTTATGCAAAGTAGTTTGGTAATTAATCCCATTTTAATTTTTCTTATGGTGGCAGCAAACAAAACGTGTCCTGTAGTGTAGCAGAGTTTCTTCATTAAACATTGATCATGAGTAGCTCATGGAGGCCAAACACAACAAAGACCACATCTGCTGCTAACTGCTCTCTGTGAAGTGGGTCATTCTGGACAGTATGGGGTTAATCTGTCCATGATGGTTAATCTCTCTGGTCTCAGCACACACTCAGCCACACACATGTGCCTACACATACCTCATATGATAACCTTAAGTCACTGAGTTATGAGCTTTAGTGTGTGCTTTAGTTTTGGATCAGCTGCAGGGACAAAACACACACACACACACACACACATCTCCATCTGATCGTATGAAGCTAGGCGTTGGCTTTCTCCTAATTAGATGATGTCCCAGCAGACACACAGGCTGGTCTGGTGAATCCTCCCAGCCTCCCCAGTGACAAACCATCAACCTGTGTGTGTGTGTGTGTGTGTGTGTGGAGAGGGGAGGGGCGTCTGTCCCATCTTTTCTGCGTCCTCTCTATAGTACAAAGCACAGTAACCTGATATCACAATCTCTTAACGGTGTGCTGCTTTCTCTCAGTTTTCCATCCAACTATTCTGCCCATGTGCTGGAACGATTAATTGATCAATCTATCAGCTTATCAATAGAAAATTTATCTGTGCCAACTTAGACAATTAAAACCCCATTTGTTGATGACAGCTTCTCAAATGGAAGTAATAGCAGCGTGTCGGTTTTATCCCACTTTTGTGTTTTTGGCTTTTACGGTGACAAAAGAAGCAGTTTTCTGAATTGAACTCTGGTAGTTGAAGCCAAGCATTTGACTTAACAGGCCAATGACTTATTTATGATAAAAGCAGAATAGATTCATCAGAAATTGGAATAACTGTTAGTTGTAGCTTTGCTTTTTAAATGCCACTGATGCATGTTGTCCAATCCGCCAGTTGATGTGTGTTGCAAAAACACCATTGTGATCTCAGGAACTAACTCAGATCTCTTGAAAGCATGGCATTGTAATTGGTCATGGTTGTCACTTACTTCTTTTGTCAGATGGGTCTTTGTGAATCTGGAAGTTACTACATCTCAGAAAAGTCTGCAGACAGGTTATAATAAAGGGTTAGGACAACAAAAAAAACATTTGTGTAACTTCACAGTGTATAAATGAACAAACTGGCCTTGTGATCAGATGAAATGTGTAATTTATTAAAAATGTGAAACACATAGGGAGTGTAACCAGCTCAGTTAGCAATAGATCAGCGGCACTCTGACTTTCTTCAGCCTTTCTTAAGCCCTGGCTGGTCCACTGTTGACATACTGTTCAGGCAGCAAATGTGGGGACTTAACA